TTTGCATCCGTGTGGAAGTTATTTCGAGTAGGCGTCACTACAGTGACAGGTCGGTCGCAAGACTTGAAAATAGTTTTATTAGAATAGAATAGAATAGAATAGAATAGAAAATCATTTATTCAAATAAACTTAATTTAAGCACTTTTGAATAGTCAACATTTTTTTAAATCTACCGCTTATTCGGAAAGCTGTCTCATCACAAGAAGAATAAGCAAGAAACTTATAAGAAGAGGCGGCGGTGAGCAAAGCAAGCAAGCAACACGCAAGTTTCTTTCTCGTTCTTCTTGTTACGACTATTCAGAAATGCTTAAATTAAGTTTATTTAAATAAAAGATTTTCTATTCTATTTTATTACTCAGATAAAAGGTAAATCTATTGGAAGGTATCTAATTATTGTTCATAATCATTACTATTTAACATTTTTTAATGCAATAGAAATTATTAATGAATATCATTATAAACACTTTGGAACTGTCAAAAATTCCAAATACACCTCATTACGGCTGCGTAACGAATTAATCGTTTAATTGTTTCTAACACAAAAATTAACTTTAAGTAATTTATCATCAACTATCGGTCCGTCCCGGCTTCATTTTCATCTTTACATTTTCATTTTTACATTTTTATCTGATCTTCAATAATAAACCTCTATCTCGGTAAGCGGCTTTGTATGTTTCTTTAACAATTCATATCCGTCATACTCGTGAACGGATGCTGCTTGTAGGTAGTGGTCTGCTCTAATAACTATGACTGATTTCCTCTTATTAATTGTTTAACCAGTTGTTGTGTATTCAATATTTTTTCTATTTGATTATTTAATTGAATTAGTGCTAATCGGTAGTTTGTATTCACATACTTAAACTTAAATTGTAAAGTAAGAATAAAATTATTTAAAAGAGCAACACGCAAGTTTCTCGCTCGTTCTTCTTGTGATGAGACAGCTTTCCGAATGAGTGGTAGATTAAAAAAAATGTGATGACTATTCAAAAGTGCTTCAATGTCAGTATATTTGAATAAATGATTTTCTATTCTATTCTATTCTATTCCATCAACTGTTTTTAAGTCCTGAAACGATGTTGGGCCACGTACATGATAACGTTGTATACTTATGTTATTGAAAGTAGCTTTCTAATGGTGAAAGAATTTTTAGAATCGACAAAGTAGTTTTTGAGTTTATTCATTCCAAACATACATACATACACACAAAAATACAAATCTTTCCTCTTTATAATATTAGTATAGACTAGCTGTTCCCGCGACTTCGTCCGCGTGGAATTTAACTTTATTTTTATAAAATAAAAGTAGCCTAAGTTACTCCTTATTACATCAGTTACCTGCCAAAAAAAAGTCCCGTCAAAATCGGTCCGCCCATTTCAGAGATTAGCCGGAACAGACAGACAGACAAAAATTGTAAAAAACATTATTTTGGTGTATGTACCGTATTTATATTCATATGTGTGTAGTAAAAAACGGTTATTTCAATGTTACAAACAGACACTACAATTTTATTTATATGTATAGATTAGAGGCACTGGTATAGCAAAAACTTGTTTATCGGGATCCATTCATTGGCTGCGCCCACGCGGTCCAAGATTGGTGTCGGTTATGTGCGCCGGCGCATAAAAACATAGCGTATATGGACCGATGATACAATCGACTCTAAATCATGGGCTATTGTTACTATTTACACATAGAGTAGTAAAGCACGATCTCTGTTGACGAACTGAGAGCAAATTATGTAAAAAAAACAATGTTTTCAATCGTTTAAAAGTAGGTATTTTACAAAAAAATAAGACGTTCATAAGCGGCTAAAATGTCCTATATGTATAAATGATTTTGAATTTAAATATTATTCAATAGTTTAAAAGTACCTACATTTTACAAAAAAAAAAAAATTGACGTTCCTAAATAGCTAAAATGTCCTATATGTATCATTTATACATTTTGAATTTGAATATTAATTCCGTAAAAAATATTTTGACTAGATACTATATTTTTCAAAGAGGGGAAGGGGAATTTTAGTACTGTATGTAATATTATATTATCTGTGGTACTGTGGACCAATAACCCAATTGCTAGCATTGGGGTTATTGGTCACATGTCAGATTGTCCTCCTTGCGGCTCCACCTGGAAACCACGATGGTTTCTGGCAAATTGCCGTTTGCCAAGATGGCCTAAATGACATGACTCTATGCCCATTTTGTCATCCTCCACTGGTACCCCGCCAGCGTAAACCGTTAGCGAAAACTGGTGCACCATTAAAAAAAACTAATAAGGATGTGCCAAGTAACGGCCTGTGTTTGTATTGAAATGACAGTTTAAGCAATTTTTTGAATTTATGAGGTACTAGATGTGCCAGCGACTCAGTCCGCATAAATTGACGTTACATCCATGTAACTTTTCTGCTCCCCTTTCAACCCCATACAACCCTTTTTTCGAATTAAAAAATAGCCTGTCGTTGTCAGGTTCTATCAATGTCCTTTCTCAGGTTCTAGACTATCTGTGTACCAAATTTCTTTTAAATCGGTTCTATAGTTTTGGCCTGAAAGCGAGACAGACAGACAGAGTTACTTTCGCATTTATAATATTAGTAAGGAGTAAGGATTTTGTACCTGCATAATGTGGACCTTTTTGGGTAGTATCTCAATTTGTACTTAATAACAGTACAATTGTAGATTTATATAAGTTTATAATGAAAATTGCGAGCAACGGGCTTATTAATTAAAGCCCCTAGTTTCAACATAGTTAATGGTCGTTTGTATAATATTACCATCATCTTCAAATATACCGGTAACATAAAAAAACAGTACAAGTTTTAAAGGCATATCTAAGATAATAATCGGAAAGATAGTCTCGTTTGTAGATGAGCATATACCGCACGAAGCCGGTACAGCACGTTGACCACAACCCGAACTTACAGTGTCGCCAGATGACTGTCTGCTAGCCCCCTAAAATTAAAAAAAAAAAACAAGATTCTATTCCCCAAAATTATGTCTAAAATAGCTCAGAATTAAAAAAAACTAAGATCTGAAGAACTCCATCATTTCTTCAGTTCTTGTTTTTTCTTAAGAACAAGATAACAAGCGACGCAAAAAAAATAATATTTAGGGTAATTATTGGTATAAAATATTGGTGAGCTGTGGTTATTTAATATTGGTAAGTAAATGGTGGTAATTTTTTTTATTTTTTTTTTATTACTTCGATTGGTTAGCAAAACTGATGACTTTTTAGTCTGTCTTTATACTACAATAGGTTTGGGCACTTGTCACAAACCGTCACAAGTCATCAAATATTTCCGTTTACAAATGCCACACATTTGTTCCTCAGAAATTTGCAGCATCGCCACAGCAATTACCCCAAAATTGTGGAAAACCCACGAACTGGCATCACTGACCGCAACTCCACAATGTAAAGTCGGAGAAACTCGTAAAATCGCAATTTGCACGCCACACACTTACCCAACACAGATAACATCTAACATATACAATTCGTGCATAATTTCACTACACAATAAGTTAAGTTACCGCGGTTATTGAAATTCAGGTTGAAAACAAGATAATAGTGTTACGTACATAGCCACTAGTGTGTAGTGTCCGGTCGGTTACAATATTACAAATTTAGTTTCCGCAGTAGAAATAGAAATAGAATATCATTCATTCAAATAAACTTAGATTGAAGCACGTTTGAATAGTCATGAGATGATGATCTTGTGATGAAACAGCTTTCCATTCGGAAAGCTGTTTCATCACAAGAAGAACGAGCAAGAAACTTGCGTGTTGCTCTTTTAAGTAAACTACTTTTATGAGTTTTCATACCTGTTATTCCAGATAGGGTAGTAGAAGAGAATAGAATAGAAATAATCTTTATTGAAATTAACTAGTCCCTAAATTTAAAAAGAAATAAAAATTCATAGAAGCGGTTCCGAAATAGTTTTTTTTATTCTACCGCACATTCGTAAAGGAAACTCATCATAGGAAGTATGAGCGAGAAACTGTTGTGTTGCTATTTCAAATAAATATTGCTCAGATTGATTTATAAAGAAGAACGAATAAAAAATAGCGTGTTGCTCTTTCAGATAAAGAATTACAATTTTAAGACTTTGTATGAATACAAACTGCCAAATATCATAGTCATAGACAACCTCGGTGATCTCGCGGTCTGGCACACTGCTTTACGTCCGATGGTCGCGGGTTCGATTCCTCGCACGGCACAAACATTTGTATTCATGACTATGTTTGTTTGTATCGGTCGGGGTATTTTCTATTTTTCTTATTTGTCAACCATAATAATAATAATAATAATCTCAGGACAATTCACACAGCGTCATATAGAGCCAAGTTGAGTAACAAAATAAATTAGTCAAATTTATCGGAGCAGACCAGTCCCTACAAGCAATAGTGGTCAGCCATTATCAATTATTGACGTAGGTGGTCACAAAATTCATCGCTTAGTTTATTTGAACTCAACATGGCAGAAACGAACCTACCTAATTTGTTATCCATATTTTCATTAATGTACAATCAACAAGAAATATAAATCTAAATATATGTAACTCAAAGGTGACTGACATAGTGATCTATCAACTCACAGCCCAAACCACTGGACGAATCGGGCTGAAATTTGGCATGCAGGAAGATGTTATAACGTAGGCATCCGCTAAGAAAGGATTTTGATTAATTCTACCCCCAAGGGGATAACATAGGTGATGAAAGTTTGTATGAAACTTTGTCAATTTTAAACCGATCGGGTTGAGACGTTGCATCCATAAAGCTACTATGACGTATGCATCCCCTAAGAAAGGATTTTGATAAATTCCACCCCTAAGGGGATATATAACGTGAGCGAAGCCGCGGGCAAAAGCTAGTATATATATAGTATTTTGTTATAACACAGCACACAAAAAGTTTTTAAATCTTTCTTACTGACTAAAATCATTAAATTTACGGTTTCAATCAAAACTCAACAATATACTGATAGCTTTAAGAGTTAGATTCACTTACCGACTGTCTTATTGATCCAATCGGCCAGATCCTCTTGCAAGGGGAAGAGTTGCCTCGCCTGCGAGTACAAAATCTTCTCCCGGTAGAAGTCTTCATCCTCCGAAATGGGAGTCTGCGCAGCCAGCGCGCAATCTGCTCGCTCGAAGCTACTGCTCATCTTACGATTAACAACTATATCTCCATGGCCCACGTGGCGTTCCTCCGCTTTACTCCCCTCGAATGTATTCCGGACGTACTCGAACGCGTTGGTCCTCTCGAAAGCGTTGAAGATCCTATCAAAGTTCCCGCTCAGCGGCCTGTCAAAGTCCACGGTGTCCGGTGATGAGACCGGACCCCACGACGTCCGGCTCCCGATGGCCGTGGGACCGCACCGGTAGTACGCCATGCCAGTGCTCTAACCTACGAACAAATGCGATACAATTAGGACAATCACATAATTGTATTAATAGGTTTTTTTGTGATATGACATCATTTGTAATGAGTATTAATTTGCAATCATTCGTCATATTGATTTTGGTATATGTGTTTATATATATTATTTTCTTCTGTTTGATTTTCTTGTTCGCTTTTTTTTTTATTTCATTTTTTTTCTCTCTTAATGATTTGTATTGTATTTATTATTTCTATTTATATATTATAATGATTTATATGCTGCTGTGAGCATCGTCATTGTTGTGTTGTGATGTGTGATTGTAATAAATATTATTCTATTCTATTCTATATTTCGGGACACACTGGCCTTCGAGACACTACGCGCTTATAATAATAATAATATCCTTGGACTATACATATACAACGCCATCTGCTCCTAAGATAAGCAGAGCTTGTGTTATGGGTACTAGACAACTGATAGAATATTTAGATACATTTTTTTAAATACATAATATACATAGCAAACATTCAAATAGACATAAGTAATCATATTCAAAATACAAATATTTGTACCGTGCGAGGAATCGAACTCGCGACAATTAAAGCGGTGCTAAACCATTAGGCAACCAAGGCCGTCAAATGTGTTATCTATACATATAAATAAAGTTGGAGTGTCTGTTTGTAAAATTGATATAACCGTTTTTTACAACATGCATATGAATATAAATACGGTATATACACCAAAATAACATTATTTACAATTTCTGTCTGTCTGTCTGTCTGTTTATTCCGGCTAATCTCTGAAATGTGATTCTGACGGGACTTTTTTTGGCAGGTAGCTAATACAATAAGGAGTAACTTAGGCTACTTTTATTTTAGAAAAATACAGTTAAATTCCACGCGGACGAAGTCGCGGATACAGCTAGTTTATAATAATAATAACAATATATCTTCACGACTGTCAACATAAATGGGGTCAAGCGATGTCAGTCGACGTCGTGAATGTACACTTGATATGTCAACGTGTCACTACGTGTATTTGAATACAACATGGCTAAGTGCGAAGGGAAGGTACAGACTCACTCATAAATTGTATGTTTGTATCAGTTCTATATATATATATATATTGTATTTTTATTTATTTATTCATTTATTTCAGGCAACTAGGCCCATATTATAAATACCTTATAGACTAACATACATATAATATAATATTTAAAAACTAATACATTGATATTGTCTGTGTGATCACGGCACTGAAGACGGCAATCTGCCACGGTAGCGCCGATATACCACACCTTTCGGCCAGTAGTCCTCTTTCATGAAGGTGGGCAGCAAGTCGGTGGGGACCAGGGCCACAAACGCTTTGAAACTCGCGTTGTGACTCGACTTCAGCTGCGTTACCCTCAATGTCAGGTTACTCTTGGTACGAATATAATCGACAATGTCCTGCTCCTTAGTGGCGTAATGTAGACGGGACAGGTACATATATATATGCATGTATGCATATACAAAAAAACATCTATGCATTTCTATAGATAGATACATAAATAATTTATATACCAACTAGCTGTACACGCGATTTCGTCCGGGTGGAATTTAACTTTATTTTTCTAAAATAAAAGTAGCCTAAGTTACTGCTTATTACATCAACTATCTACCAATAAAAGTCCCGTCAAAATCGGTCCAGCCATTTCAGAGATTAGCCGGAACAAACAGACAGACAAATATTGTAAAAAATTATATTTTGCCGTATTTATATTCATATGCGTGTAGTAAAAAACGGTTATTTCATTATTACAAACAGACAGTCCGATTTTATTTATATGTATAGATTACAAATGACTTTAGTCTGAGGGCACCGCTAGGGGTTCGAACCTCGGCTCAGGCCGTCGTAATTTCAATCTCCGTTTGAATTGGACGGGGGATCGATCTTGTATTTATACTAATAATACGCATACAACAAGCAGCTTCTGTCTGACGGATACGACTTTAGTCTGAGGGCACCGCTAGGGGTTCGAACCTCGGCTCAGGTCGTCGTAATTTCAATCCCCGTTCCCCCCCGTGAATTGAACGGGGGATATATCGCTCCTGTATTTCTACTACTAGTACACATACAAGCTCTGCTTAGCTTGGGAATAGATGGCGCTGCGTCAATTGTCCCGGATTATTATACATTTCGGCTCATTTACATGTGGACAAGGGCCATATTGTCGTAGTTAATCTATCGTCACGACTAATGAAGACCCGAAGGTTGCTCTGACAGGCACTATTAAAACACAAAGCCCATGTTCATTTGGTACAAAAATGTGACAATGACAAGTCGTAATTTGAGCAGAACGACTGACGTGTATAATTGTCTGTCAATAAGTATAATATTGGTCAACAAAAACGATGCTGGAAAATAATAGGTACTTAAATATTAGGCGGACTGTAGAGGCCGTACGAAAAGAAGTCTTTGGTATTATTTAAAATAGTCATTATAATTATGAATGTTACAAAGAGTGTAATTAAAAATTAATGCAACGATCGGTGTAGTTAGCATATATTTATTTTAAGAGTAAAATTCTTTAATGTATAGTCAAACACAAGGGAATAGAAGGTTTCTTACTATAAACATATTAATATCTTATATATAAAATTCTCGTGTCACAGATTTCGTTCCCATATTCATCCGAAACGGCTGAAATTTGGCATGCAGGTAGATGTTATGACGTAGGCATAACATGTACCTGCATGCCAAATTTCAGCCCGATCCGTCCAGTGGTTTGGGCTGTGCGTTGATAGATCACTATGTCAGTCATTCACGTTTGATTTATATATCTTATATATAAAATTCTCGTGTCACAGTTTTCGTTCCCATACTCCTCCGAAACGGCTTGACCGATTCTCATGAAATTTTGTGAGCGTATTGAGTAGGTCTGAAATAGGACATCTTTTTTTCATCCCCCTAAATGTTAGGGGTAGTCCACCCCTAATTTTAAGCAAAACAACGTTTGCCGGGACAGCTAGTATATATATATATATTCTGAACACTTAACTGAGGTACAGTTTATCTATAACCACTTAATAGACTATGCCTGCTATTTATATTTATTGCAGGCATAGCTTAGTATGTGGTCATACATATATACATATATATGTATATAGTTATAGATTCTTCACTTGTTCTTACACAATACTCGTAATTGCGCTGCCATTTAATTACCATTATCTTCATATACAATACTTTACGGAATCTATTATGCATGGCGAAGGAATTTGTTACTAATGTGGATTAATAACCCAATTGGTTCTCCCTGGAAACCATCATGTTAAATTACTGGTGAATTTGTCACGATGGGTTAACATGACCTCATGCTCATCTTATCATCCTCCACTGGTGCCCCGCCAGCGTATACCGTTAGCGCAGATTCCATTATCAATCATTATAAAAAATACCGCAATAGTGCGGTTATATTAATCCGTCATACTCGTGAACGGGTGCTGCTTGTGTGGACTGGTCTGCTCTAATCTCTATTTTCTATTCTATTCTATTCTATTCTAGGGGTTGCTGATCCCAAATAAAAAAAAAACAGAACAAATTTGAACGGGGGATACATCGCTCCTATATTTCTACTACTAGTACACATACAAGCTCTGCTTAGCTTGGGAATAGATGGCGTTGCGTCAATTGTCCCGGATTATTATACATTTCGGCTCATTTACATGTGGACAAGGGCCATATTGTCGTAGTTAGTCTATCGTCACGACTAATGAAGACCCGAAGGTTGCTCTGACAGGCACTATTAAAACACAAAGGCCATGTTCATTTGGTACAAAAATGTGACAAACAACAAGTCGTAATTTGAGTAGAACGACTGACGTGTTTAATTGTCTGTCAATAAGTATAATATTGGTCAACAAAAACGATGCTGGAAAATAATAGATACTTAAATATTAGGCGGACTGTGGAGGCCGTACGAAAAGAAGTCTTTGGTAGTGTTTAAAATAGTCATTATAATTATGAATGTTACAAAGAGTGTAATTAAAAATTTATGCAGAGATCGCTGTAGTTAGCATATATTTATTTTAAGAGTAAAATTCTTTAATGTATAGTCAAACACAAGGGAATAGAAGGTTTCTTACTATAAACATATTAATATCTTATATATAAAATTCTCGTGTCACAGTTTTCGTTCCCATATTCATCCGAAACGGCTGAAATTTGGCATGCAGGTAGATGTTATGACGTAGGCATAACATCTACCTGCATGCCAAATTTCAGCCCGATCCGTCCAGTGGTTTGGGCTGTGCGTTGATAGATCACTATGTCAGTCACCTTTGAGTTATATCTTATATATAAAATTCTCGTGTCACAGTTTTCGTTTCCATACTCCTCCGAAACGGCTTGACCGATTCTCATGAAATTTTGTGAGCGTGTTGAGTAGGCCTGAGAATCGGCCAACATCTATTTTTCATCCCCCTAAATGCTAGGGGTAGTCCACCCTTAATTTTTTTTTTATTATAAGCAAAACAACGTTTGCCGGGAGAGCTAGCTATATATATATATATATGTTCAGAATATATATATATATATATATTCTGAACACTTAACTGAGGTACAGTTTATCTATGACCACGTAATAGACTATGCCTGCTATACAAATATATTTATTACAGGCATAACTTAGTATGTGGTCATACATATACATATATATGTATATAGTTATACAAACTACATTTTACAATATTTTTACAGATTCTTCACTTGTTCTTACACAATACTCGTAATTGCGTTGCCATTTAATTACCATTATCTTCATATACAATACTTTACGGAATCTATTATGCATGGCGAAGGAATTTGTTACTAATGTGGATTAATAACCCAATTGGTTCTCCCTGGAAACCATCATGTTAAATTACTGGTGAATTTGTCACGATGGGTTAACATGACCTCATGCTCATCTTATCATCCTCCACTGGTGCCCCGCCAGCGTATACCGTTAGCGCAGATTCCATTATATAAAAAACATTTTCTTAAA